TGCATGCATTTTTTTGGCTTTTCCTCCTTACATGCTTGATTCATTTTTTTGGCTTTTCCTCCTTACATGCTTGATTCATTTTTTTGGCTTTTTCTCCTTACATGCTTGATTCAGATTCATGAAACAGTTTGACTAGTGGCAGTAGGCGATTGTGTGTGTGTTTGGCAGTGGGTGATTGTTCTTCGTTTTCTATTTCTCTGCATTTTTGCAATTTGCATGCATTTTTCTCTGTAGTGCATTTTTCTCTGTGCATTTTTCTATTTCTCTTATAATTATTTTAAAATTTGATATTTAGTTTATAAAAATTTATATTTAAAGCGATAAATTTGAAACAGTACGTGAAAAATTTTGGTATTCGATACATAGCATTTCAATAACAAAACCAATACATATGCCGATATGATATTGACAACATTGGTCAAAGCAGGCTTAAGTTTTAGTAAATTCAAGTAATAATTTTTACCTGGTAAGCTAGCAAAAAAATAATTTTACCTGCTTCAACATCATAGAACATCTATAAGATTCAATAGATTCCTTTGCATTAAAGATTGACTTTACAATTAATTAAGAGTTTTTAGGGGTGTATGTAGAGTGAATAAGGTATCAAGTCCATTTTGAAAACCATATTGTGGTTGCAAAGAACTTCAAAGTACTCCCGAGCTCGGACCTTCACTCTAGATAACCTGCAAAGCCTCGAGGTTGGTCCTCGGGGTAAACACTCCGATGTCAAAGTTAGCAATAATCAGAGCTACCAGATATGAAGCAAGAGCTAAACTTGAGATCAATTTCAATTAACTTTTGAGAAGGACCCTTGGGGGGTATTTATAGCCTTCAAGGAGGTGTCACATGTTGATTTTTGCAAAAAATTGGGGTCATGTGTGTCAATCATTGTAGATATCTCTTATAAGAAATTTGCATATGTACGAAGCTACTGTAAAGCGAGAGCAAAAGAGACGAGCTCGAACTCAACTGAGCTCATCGCACTTCAAATAGAGTCATGACTGGGTCGTTGGGAATAGCTCAGACATAGCTTAGATCGTTCGAGGTACGTGACCTTGAACTACCATCACTACACTATTCCCCCCCTCCCCCCCTTGAAGTCATTCACTTGTGAATAATGGAGGAGTTTGTATTGGGATTGAAAAGGATGGCTCAAGTTGAGGTGAAGATATCATAGCACGAGATCAAGCGTATGGCTGGAGCCGAAATGGAGACATGACACGTGGCCTTGTAACGTACGGCCGAAGTTGAAGTAAAGGTATCAGGACATGTGGTCATGTAACGTGTGGCCTTAGCCGAAGTGAAGATATCATGACACGATCATATAACGTGCGGCCGGAGTCAAAGTGATGGTATCATGACACGTGGTCATGTAACGTGCAGCCAGAGCCAAAGTGAAAAATCTGATGACCAAATGTGAATCCATTCGAGAAGTAATTAATATGATTACGTTGAATTAGGATAGGTTGTTGAAATGGAATCGAAAAGAAAATAAAATAAATTAACTTAGGCTGAAACCAGTCTTCATGTGATGCACGGTAACAAATGGCGCAGTCAAGAATAATTGCCGAATTCAAAAAGATGCGATCGTGACCATTAGATTCGAATGATCGTGATTGTAAAGAGGAATGAGGTTTTAATATAAATAGCTAGGCTTGAGTTATTTAGAATTTACCTTGTTGATTTGGTAGTGGAGCACTGTCGAAGTAAAACAAGAGCACTTCATCATCCGAGCTTGCGGTTGTTGAGTTTAGAGGTCCAACTAGAACGTGTGTTGTTTCGAAAATATTCCAAGTGTTTCAGTTCGGCCATCAAAAGTTCAGGTAATCTCATGAACTCAAGTTCTCGTTTCAATATCTAAGTTAACTCCAGACCTAGGACTAAGTCTAATTAGGAAAATTAACAGTAGGTCTAAGAGTGAGGTAGAGCATCAAAGAGAGCTAACTGAAAATCCTAACTATTCTCTCCGTCTTACCTCTTGTAGTGAGAGGGTACAGAGTAGAGCTATCGTCTGAGGATTCAATAAGTGTTGGTAAGGATGAAGAGATAAAGTTGAGCTCAAGCGAGAGCAGTAGTGAAGGAACTTCTAGTAGTGGGGGAAGTGGGAGAAGTGTAGAGGAGGTTGAAGAAGTTGGGGTTCCTTCTAACATTTTGGAGGTTGATGACAATAGGGCGAAGTGCTACAATGAAGAGGAGGAGGTGATTTCGGAGGTGGTGGGATACGAGGCCTCTTAGAGGAGTAAGGGTGACCTCGCACATTTGGTGGAGCATTATGCCATTTCAAGGCATGTCTTAGTTAGGCTAGCTGGGGTGATGGAACAGGCATGTTCAACTCCAAGGGACCACTGGATGCTCATGTACGACCACTATTTATTAGTCGAGCCTAGGTTTCCTGTGCTTGAGCTGCTAGTAGCCTTACTCAGGGAGTACGAATTAGGCATAACTCAGCACATACCCAACATTGTTTAGCTAATCATTGGATTCTTAGTTTATTGCCGAACACGAGGTGTTATCGTAATTGTTAACCTGTTTAAGTATTTTTTTTTTTCTTAATAAAAGGGGGAAGCAATAAGAAGAAGGGTTGTTTTACTTTACACCCTGAGTTGTTGGAGGGGGAGGAGGTAGGAACTTGTTTAGTGCAGGTCCTTCTTGCATAAAGGGGTGGAAGGACAAATTCCTTTTTGTGGACGATACGAAGTGGGGGAGGTCGGATGCAGAGGTGACTGAGCTCTGCAAGTGGAAAGCTAAGACGGCTAACCCAAACAAGTGTTCATTGGGTGTGGGGGAGCAGGATGAAGTGGAAAGATTGGAGAGGAGGGGTGGGGAGGTGATGAATATCATGCATCTCACTAGCTTGGAGATGTTGGAGGCGGCGGAGATCTATGGGCCGAGCTATTTGGAGGTCAGTTTATGAAAATTTAAGGTTTATTTGAGCTACAATTTAAGTAAGTTTTTAACACTGTTGTATTTTACAGAGGAAATAAATCGACTGCTATTTGGAAGCAAGACTATCGCTCTCTCGGAGAAAAGGTCAAAGGCCCCAACCCCGGTTGCGGCTGAGGAGAGAATGGGTGAGACTTCAAGGCCTCGCCCTAATGAAGTTTGAGCTGAAGTAGGTCCCAGCTTGGAGCAAAAGAGAAAGAGGGTCGAAGAGGAGGCTGCCGCACAAAAGAGAAGAAAAGTGCATGAGGTGCAGTAGCCGTAGGAAGAGGCTCTGATTGAGTTCTTACCTTGATATCCACTGGTTCAAATTGATCCATCCCTACGAGAAGTGGGGGTGGTGACACATGGGAAAGGGAAGGGATCTCCCATTTCGAGGCAGAAGTCCAGCTTTCTTGAGAATGTGAGCAAGACTGCTGCTAAGCGTTTCATCACCTCCACTTTTCCTTAGGTGGACCTCAAGAGAGCCATGAATGAGGTGGATGAGTACGGAGACTCTAGCGTTGTGCGCCACACACTTGAGGTGAGAGCTAGAACTGAGCTCACTTTTTCACTTTCCCCTTTTTTTCTTTTCTTTTTTTTTTTTTTTGTTTTTGTTTTTTTAAACCTCAACTCTTCTTATAGACGGCGAACCTTGTGAACACCTTGGCAGATGAATATTACAACTGCCTTAAAGAGAGGAATAAACTGGCTGACAAAAATGACGAGCTCATCCGACAGAAGGAGTCAACCGAGCAAAACGAGTCAACCAAGCAAAACTTCAATGACCTAACCTCGCAGCTCGAGAAGGTTAGGGAGGAGTTGGCTTCTGCCAAGGCGGCCATTGAGGTCGAGGTGGAGAAAAGAAAGAAGTAGGAGGAAGAGTTGGCCAAGGCATGAGATGAGCTGGTTAAAGTTCAAAGGAAATCTGAGCTGGAGGTGCACAACTCAATTGAGCAGCATGTCTCCAATTTCATCAACTTGGTGACATTCTACGAGATTGTAGACCTCTTCCGCATGCCTACACTAGTGATGGCCTTCAACGATTGTAGAAAGAAAGTGAAGGCTCGGAACCTTTAGGTGGATGTGACAAAAATCACATTCGGACCTCAGGAGGCTGGAGTGGAGGAGGATGGGGAGAGCAAAACAGCCAAGTTCCACTTGGAGATCACTTTAAACTGGGAGTAGGATGAAGCTAGACGGATTGTGCTCCCCCCACGTCTGGAGTATGAGTTCGTCGCTGCTGATGAAGATGAAGCTGAGGTTCCTGGGCATACTGAGGTCGGGGACAATGCTACTAAGCAAGAGGTGGACCAACAGCATCAACTGATTGACTGAGCTCGGCCAACTTGCCTCTCTTTTGAAATTGTAAATCAAACATTTGTATCTTGATTCACATGAATATATGAACAATTTGAGAAATTGAGATGATTTATACTTACGGCATAACTGCGTTACATTTGACCTTTGAGTCGTAAAAAGAACTTAAATAAGATCAGAGCTAAAACAAATCATCAAACCTCGATCTTCGAAGTTAAATAGATTTTTAAAGCATAATTGAACCTGATGCAGAAATGAATTTCTAACTTCGACCTCCGAAATTGAAATATTGTATAATTGGATAAGACAAAGTTTTATTAAGAATAAAACTTCTTCAAATTATTTACATTCCACATTCTAGGAACCCTCTTACCCCCGACGTCTACAAGTATGTAAGCGCCGAGGTAAGGTATTTCAGCTATTACATATGAACCCTCCCAGTTCAGTGCTAGCTTGCTGAAGTGAATTTCGAAACCAGTGAGTCCTACTTTTCTGAAAATGAGGTCACCAATTTTGAAATGGCCGAACTCGTTTATTGTAAAAGCCGGCTACTTTCTATTTGTATACCAATGTCCAAAGTCGAGCTTCTCTACTAGTTTTACAATATTGACATGGTAATGGTTGTTACTCAAACTTCTCTACCAGTTTTACACTTAATTGATGTTAGTTTGAATGTAACTTAGGCCATTATGATGCAAATAATGACTTGTCGTTGCAGATATGTTTGATATCGTGTGCTATTTCTTCATCCTTTTATGACAAACTTGTGCACTTGTAGCATATTTGGCTCCATTATTAGTTTTGTAGAGTTACTACTTACTACTCTACTAATCCCATCTAGTTTTCCATTGATACTGGTAATTGTTACCTTTCATTCTGGACACCTTCAAAGTCTCCTTTCTTTTATCATCTTTTTGCAGGTTCAGTTCCCCCTCTTGTCTTGGTTGAATGATGCATACAGTGAGCTACTGCCATTTCAAGATGCGATGCCAGAGAAGCAACTAGATGCTCATCCACATCATTAGTCAGTTAACGTTGTCTTATTTTCAGCAACGGTATGGGATTCAATGGATCTTTTAAATAGATGGAGATCCGAAGTAGGGCTGCAAAATTTTGTAACTCTATGCAGAAACTTATGGAAGTGATGGAATAAAGTTGTAAACTATATGAAAATATCTAGTTTTTAAGAGCATATGGAATGTTTATTAATAATAATAAAGTACAACTTTTGTTGTAGTACTATGAAGGTATGTATCTCTCAAGTCTTAATTGAGTAGGCTGAAGTTTTGAATTAAATTTAAGTAATCATTTTTACTTGGTTCAACATCATAGAAGGTGTATAAGATTTAGTAGCTACCTTTGCATTGCAAATTGACTTTACAATTAATTAAAAGATTTTAGGGGTGTAAGCAGAGTGAATAAGATATCAAGTCCATTTTGAAAGCCACATAATATGGATATGCAACCGGATCAGATTTTGAGGTCAAGGGAGAGCAACCATTATTAAAAATTTATAATGGAATGAAGTTAATAACATTGAGAATTGATTGATGCAAGAAGAGCCCGTGGCTGCAATTGCACACTGCGTTCTCAAGATTGGAATGGGTCTTGTCTATTCAGCTTCACCCAGTGGCAGCTCTACCTCCATGGCTCAACTTGTGCCTTGTTTCTATTTGGAAACTTCATCCACAACGTCTTGGTTTCAGTAAGACGTAAGAAGGTGGGTCAAAACGAGGGCAGAGGGGAGGGGAGGGACTTTTCGTTTGCAATTGCAAACAGTATTACTTCTGGTTTCTGGAGAATGATTTTGTACAATTCAACCTGGAGCGACAGTACTTTTAAGAGATTGTTATTACTTTTACCTAGGGGTGGGCAAAACCGATTTTTGGTTAAAATCGAAACCGATTTAAAATAACCAAAAAATTTTTTCTCTAATTTTGAAAACCAAAATTGAACCGAAATTATCAAAAACTGATTGATTCGATTATCAATAAAATGGGTTCAGTTTTGGTTTTGATAAGTAAATAATAATCAATTATTTTTCTAATAATATATTATATTTTATCGCATATTTTATCATATTTTGTCATATTTTGTCATATTTATCCTAATTTCGATTTTCAAGGGCTTATGTTTGGTTTTCAATTTTTAAAAAGTTCAACCGAAGTCGAACCAAAATATATTCGGTTAATACCAAAATCAAAAAAAAAAAAACAAAAATCATTGAAACTAAACCGAATTCATTTTTTTGGTTCGATTTTCGAGTAACCCATCAGTTCGATTTCAAATGCCTAGCCCTTCTTTTACCTACGAGTTGATCGGACATCGAAAAGTATTAAAAATAATAATGTAATTTATCATAAAATAATAATTTTAAAAATATAAAAATTACAAAAGCTTATATTAAATTAATTAGCCTAAATCATACTCTTAATTAGATAAATCAGTTCATAATAAAAATAATAAAACTTAAGTGAATTTAATTTTCTTTGTAAATAATTCTTCGATGCTTGTGACTTTTAAATTGTTTGGCAATTAAATCTCTTTCAAATTGTGAAGGGTTAAAACTTATATAAACTCCTTTTAGTTAGGACTCAATTGATTTCAAATCATTGGGATATCAGACTCCAAAATTCATACTGCCGTATCGAGTGAAACTACATTCATTGTTTATTCTGGTGCAGCTGCTGCTCTAATTTCACTCAAGGCTGAGTGCAAGAACTTACCCCCCAATTGGTCGGGCTCAGATCCTTGTGGTGATGGCTGGGTAGGAATTGGGTGCACGAATTCACGTGTCACCTCGATGTAAGTTCTTGGTTAATTTCCACCTCCTGGATAAACGCTTATTCTTTCTCTTCAAGCTTCTGAGGATTGATCTGTCTCCCATCTGTTGCAGAACATTGGGAAACTTGGGCTTGGAAGGGCTGGTGTTTGGTGACATTCCATCCTTAACTGAATTACCGACTTTGTAGGTTCTCTATCTGAAGTTCACATGGGAGTCATTTCAAAACTAACTTGTTCATTCTCCTCCATTTAAGACAATATTCATTTATGTGATTGTGCTGCTCAGATTTCTAAAGTTTCATTTAAATCTAAGGCTTAAGTGAAACATATTTTCTTTAAGCATTATATACAAAAAGTTTAGTGGTGATTATAATAGAGAACACGAAGAACATGATAGTCTGCTGTTTTGTCAGCTAAATATGCCTCCCTACCTTTTTCATTACTTGGTGAGGGATGTTATAATATATACGTATTGATATATCTCTGATCAAGCTTCTTTATGCAGGGATCTATCTTACAACAAGCGCCTGACAGGATCTCTTCCAGAATCAATTGGGAATTTAAAGAAGCTAACAATTTTGTAAGTCACCGAGTCGAATTAATCCTTTTTATTTTTGGGCCTTCTCTTTATGGAAAATGTATTGTTTACCACTCTCTTCAAACCTGCTTTTGTACTCCTGTGACAGAATCCTTGTTGGCTGTGGTTTCACCGGTCCAATTCCTGACACAATAGGAAATCTACACCAGCTGGCCTATTTGTGAGGACTCTTACTCTAATATCAGCTATGATATAACGGATAAACTTACAATTTTAAATTGCTTGTGTGGTGATCTTCCATTGTTTAATGAAACTTGGTGGACAAATTTGTACTGGTTCACTAAGTAATCACTGTTCAGCTCTGCTCTGAATTGTATTGATACTTCAATACTTTTGCAAATTTTAATCAAATAAATGTACAAATAAGAATGTTAATTTTATATTTTTTTTATGCTACTATCTGATATCTTCTTGTTACTTAACTCTTTCACTTCTTGCTCGGTACATCACACTCTTAGGGAAGGTAATTCAGCTACTGACAATATGGTCTTTGTTGGGCATAATCTTGAGTTGGGTACTACCTTTTTTCCAACCCCCACAATGGGTATTAGTTTGATTTTGCAAAACGATTATACTAGGACTATGTTCCTCAGAAACTAAGCTTTTAATAGCTTTTGATATATCAAAAAAAAAAAAATCAAATCTTTGAATAAAAAAAATTTATTCAAAATAAAAATACTATTAAATAAATTAATAATGACTAAGTTTTGTTTGTTCCAACTAAAATAAATCTGAAAAATAGGAATAACAAAATAACCCTAAATGGAAATCAAATCAATATCATTTTGATCTTTATATCACAAAAGCCACAATCTATTGGAGTTGTAATTCAAATAGTTTAATTCTAGAAACATTTTCAATTCCGCTTCTTGCATTCTTATATTTATTAATTAACTTGATTATGCAAATCTTTAATACATTTGTGTAACTGGTTAATTATATCATCCTGCATCTCTATAGTCTCGTTCAAATTTGAAACCCTCTTCTCTAAATCATCAGCATGTTTTGTTGCTTGTTCTTCACATGCTTTAATTAATTCTTGTTCCATATAACAATTCGAAAGTCCTCCTATCCCAAGACCTGGAGTATATCCTCCTCTGAGTCGTCCCAACTCCTATCTAAAATGTTCTATGAGTGGAATAGGAGCTGAAGAAATCTCTTCAGCATTTTCCGCTCCAACATTTTAAAGTTGGTTCCATAGAAAAAATACATAAATTATTATAAAAAACCAACAATTAATATATAGAAATGATATAAATAATTACCAAAATTCTTTTCCTATCAGGAACTTTTCATTGCTTGTTTGCATTCAATTCTCTCACTTCCTCTACTCTTGAAGTAGAGGGTAATGTTTTTATTTTTGATCCTTCTTTCTATTATGACAATAAAAGGAAATCAATCAAAAGTTATACTACAATCAACATAAGATATATATAGAACTATTACTTACTATAAATTTAAAAATTAGTAATTACTAGTTCGTGAACAATTTGGATAATTGATTTTATGCCAGTAATGGATGGGATTTGAACCTTCAACCTATTAAAACTATTTTTATTACTGTCATCCCGCAATTTGATACATAAGATTATTATACTATGATTTATTGAACAGGTGATTAAAAACAAATAAATAATATTTAAATATTTAAAATTAAAAATAAAATAATTAGGTGTTAATTAACATACCTTAAATTTATCTGTTTCCCATTTGTTTTGAATTAACCAATTCCACTCAGTTTCTTCAACATAATTTGGACGAATTCTTTTTGTACAATATTTTTTATATAATTTATTATGTCATGCCTTGAATTAAGTTTGGCATTGTTTCATTATAATATTGCAGGCATTCTCATCTAACTTGAATTTACGCTAAAAAATTAACTTAAAATTAAATTAATTAGAATTATTTAAATTGAAATATTGCAAATTAACTTTTAATATATTTGTCAAACAAAAAAAAATAACATTATCTTAAAAAATAGAGTAAAATTACCCCTTATTTATTTTACTACTATATGAAAAATTAAATTGCGTAGGAATAGATATGCATTTGCCAGAGGTCGAGGTTAATTAGGTTTCAGAAAGTTATTTATGTTTAATGTTTTAACTAGATGAAAGCAAAAAGAGGAACATTGGTTTGTGAGGGTGGGTTTTGGACTCCAGAGACTATTTTGCAAATGAACAAGGAAAGTGAAGGGTAAGCATGTTAATCTTTATCTAATCTTGTATTAAAAAAATAAAAAAGAAATAATAAGTAATTTATAGTTAAAAAAATATTACATTTAAAAATGTCCATATAATGTTTTCGGCATTCTCTTCAAGCTTGCTCTAACTCAAACAAGGCTTTGCAAAATGTCTAATACATATGTCAATCTCGGTTTTGAGAACGGCTGCATATTCCCCACATACTTTTTTAAATTTAGGAGGAAATTGAAGGTGAAAAGGTTGACCTTTCTCCATCTTTTTTTTAAAAGGAAGAATTTTTTGATCGGTTTTCCTCTCAAAGTAATAATAGGATATGATTTAAATTTAAAAGAAGAATACGATAAAAAAAAAGTTAAATCAATTATTTTTTAATAAAAAATAAAAATAAAAATAAAATTAAATTTGTATTAATTTGTTTTTCACTTTCATTTGATGTAATAATTTTATTTTTATAATATATAAAATAAACAATATTGTTATAATATAAAAAAATATTATATTAAAAACTATAGAAGAATTGATGCCACTCTTTTTCATAATTGGAGGATAATATAAATACTAAAAAAATATTATATTAATAACTATAGAAGGATTGATGCCACTCTTTTTCATAATTAGATGATAATATAAATAATTAATTTAAAAATATAAAAATATGTAATACACTCTCGACCTGCAGTCACTTACAATTAATTATTAAACAAACTTGGGTATCTTATGGAAATTAATCTAAAGGAAGAAAAAGTAGCCGGACACCCTACTTTTTCTTTTCTTTTTTCTTTTTTTTCGACATTCCTTCTTCTCTATCTTTTGTTTGAAAATCAAATGATTTAAAAAAAATAAAACATTGCCTTTCCCTTCTCACCGTAATCTCTCACCCAGCCCTAACTGGTTCCCCTCTTAAAATCAACCAAAAACCATCCGAAAACTTGATTTTCCGTAACCCACCATCCTCTCCAATGCACCTTTCGTTGGTTTTTCTCTTCCTCTTTGATCCTGTGTGCTGTTTCTTCATCCTTTTAGGACAAACTAGTGCACTTGTAGAATATTTGGCTCCATTATTAGTTTTGTAGTGTTACTATTTACTACTCTACTACTCCCGTCTAGTTTTCCATTGATTCTGGTAAGGATGAGGAAGTCTGACTTTAGGGTTTTACATTTTGTTGCCTTTCATTATGGACACCTTCAAAATCTCCTTTCTTCTAACATCTTTTTGCAGGTTCAGTTCCCTCTATTGTCTCGGTTGAATGATGCCTACGTTGAGCTGCCGCCATTTCAAGATGCGATGCCAGAGAAGCAACCCGATGCTCCTCCATCAGTAGTCAGTTAATGTTGTCTTATTTTCAGCAACCGCTTGGGATTCAATGGATCTTTTAAATAGGTGGTGATCCGAAGTAAGGCTGCAAAATTTCGTAACTCTGCAGAAACTTATGGAAGTGACGGAATAAAGTTGTGGACTATATGAAGATACATAGTTTTTAAGACCATATGGAATAATTTCTGAATGAATGAAATAAATAAATATCGTCTTATTTTCTTTCGTTGCAACTTGCAACTACCAACTTGCAAGGTCAGACTAGCTCTACGCCATGCGTAGCACATTAGTCATTACTACTATTTGTGGTGTCTTGAGAGATAAAAAAAACGAAATGGAGAGTACTCGGGCTTTGGCAAGGAACGCGGCAACCAGGAAAGACAGTGGCTACAGACAGCGGCAAGGATACAGGAACAGGTATGCAGATTACAGTTCACAGTTTTTTGGATGGGCATCGACTTTCTTCTTTTATAACTTCCCAGAGGAATTAGATGCAAAATTTCTATGGAATAGCTTTCAGATGTATGGCAAAGTCGTTGATGTGTATATTCCAAGTAAACGTGATAAGAGAGGGAAGAGGTATGGTTTTGTGCGACTATCAGGGGTCAAGAATGAGATTCAAATGGAGAGGAGACTAAATGAGATATGGATTGGCCCGTATAAGATGAGAGTGAAGATTGCAAATGAGAGACAAAGGAAATCATCATTGTCCAGGAAGGTGCAAGGTGTTTTTAAAGTCAGTGGATCAACAAGCATCATGAATAGGTTGGTTCAACCAGGGCAGTCATATGCTCAAGCAGTGAAGGGCCAAGGAAAGAGAGAGGATAAGGCTCCAGAACAATCACAGGAAAAGGAAAGAAAAGAAGCCCCGAAAATGGAAGTTGTCAAAACAAGGATATAGGAGAATAAGGAAGTAGAAAAAATAGAGAAGACTATTGAATACATCCCTTCGGGTGATGAGTTGAAATGGCTTGAGGGTGGCATGGTGGCAGTGGTGAGGTCAATGGCGTTGGTTTCTGAGATTCAAGAGCAATTGGATGCAGATGGAGGCTCAATCTCGTTATCACCAATTGGGGGAAGACGGATGCTATTAACTGAGAAAGTTACAGGGTCCTTATCTGATTATATGAAGCATAATGAGGAGTTGTTTGGCATGTGGTTTGAGTCGATAACTCCATGGGAGAAGGCTCCAAAGGAGAAAAGTCGAATGATGTGGGTGCGCATATCGAGTGTACCATTAAAAGCATGGGGAGAGAGGTGTTTTCAGATGATCGGTGAGACAATCGGAGAAGTTCTGTTGGTGCACGAGGACACAAAGAAGAAAGCAATATTATGGGATGGAAGAGTTCTGATCCTCTGTTTGAAGTCTAGTAAAATCTCTAATCAAGTCAAGCTGAAAGTGGGTGAGCAGGTGTATGAGATAGAGATTGTTGAAGAGGAGTGGCGCTCTGATCCGGACTGGTGGTTATCAGAGATTGACCGGAGAAGCAACCTGGAAACGGAGTCTGATTTCTCAAACTCGTGGTGTTAGAACGAGGATCCGAATTTGGATATGGATGTGATTGGCGACGGTGAGGATGTAAGAAACAGTTCAGAGCATTTAATGAAGGATTTGGTGTCAAATTCAAATCTGAAAGTTGCAACGGAAACAGAGAGTGGTATTCAAATAGTGCAAGAAACAGAACTGGAAGGAGATGCAAGCTTTGGGCTGTCCAAGGAGAGTGGGCCACAAAGAGTGATTTTTGTTGGACCAATAGAAGGTAGCGGGCCGACCATCAAGTTGGGCTGGGGACGGACAAAAGAAATCAACTTGGAGGAACCCTTTTTAGATGCACAAATAGAGGTGGACCCATCGGTAATGCAGAAATCGGCAAACACAAAAAAGGGGAGCAAAAAACAGAGACTTCTTCAAGATTGTTACCCAGAGAGCATGGAGGAGATCTGGGCAAAAGGAGCACCGTGGGTAACACCCAGAACAAAGCAGCGACTGGCATGAAGAGAGGGATCTAGCCAAGCCGGGGATGACAAGGTACACAAAGCATCTGTTGTTTCTATATCAGATGGATGTATTGAAAATAGAAATAAGGTGTTGCACAGGGAGATGAATATGCATGAGGTGCGTCGGTTGATGGGGGTGGGGAAGAGATTGGGTCTTAAGTTCGATAATAATGAGGAGGAGATTCAATCAAAGTTAATAGAGGCAATAAATCGAGAAGGGGCAGAGAGGAGGGACGCGAAAGGGAGGTAGGGGCGATTGTGATGAATGAGCTTTGTGTGATTAGAATTGATTAATGAAATTTGTGTCTTTTAATGTAAGGGGGTTGGGTGGGTCGTTGAAAAAAAGGAAGTGAGAAGGTTGGTTCAAGGAGAGAAGCCAGATTTTCTATTCCTGCAGGAAACAAAGTTAGAAAAAGTGGATGTAGGTATCTGTAGACAGTTATGGAATTCATATGAGGTTGATTGGGTTGCAAAGGGCTCTTCCGGAGCTTCAGGTGGTTTACTATGTATGTGGGATAGTCGGCGGTTTGTTAGGAGGCAAGATTTTTCTGGTGATGGGTTCGTGGGACTGGTAGGGGAATGGGGAGCTAATAAAAGGCAGTATTCTTTAATTAACGTCTATGGTCCAAATGATAGACAGAAGAAGGCTAGTTTGTGGGAGGAACTGAGGAAAATGGTGACAGACAAGGAAGGGTGTTGGTTGATAGTAGGGGACTTTAATGCAGTCAGAGGGCCTGAGGAGAGACGAGGTAGAACAGGAGAGAGCCCAGACATGAAGGATTTTGATGAGTTTATCGTGACAACTGATTTGGTGGATGTCAAATTGTCGAATAAAAGTTATACATGGTACAAGCCAGATGGCACAACAAGGAGTAGATTGGACAGATTCCTATTGAGTACGGAGATGAGTAATATGGAAGGAGAGTGGATACAACAAGGATTGCCAAGGAATATCTCTGATCATTGTGCTATTGTGTTGAAGTCCAGAACAACAGATTGGGGACCAAGACCGTTTCGGGTTTTGGATGCATGGCAACAACACCCTGATTTTAAGAAGTTTGTAGAAGATAAATGGAGGGAGATGGAGGTGGAGGGTTATGCAGGGTATAAGTGCCAACAAAAACTGAAATTGCTAAAAGGTTTTTTAAAGGGCTGGAACAAGGAAGTCTTTGGGAACATGGAAGCTCAATAGGAGCAAGCTGTAAAAAAGATTGAGCAAGTTGATATGCAAAACGAGATATCTGATCTGGAAGAGGCTGAGATTGTGAAAAGACAAGAAGGTTTTTCCGAGATGTGGGATGTTTTGAGAAAGAAGGAACTTATCTGGAAGCAGAAGTCAAGGAGTAAATGGGTGCATGAGGGAGATGCAAATACCCGTTTTTTTCATAGAGTTGCAAAAGGAAAAAGAGCACAAAACAGCATTGCAGGATTAATGTGTGATGGAGCATGGATTGATGATCCAGATTTAGTAAAAAATGAGATAGTCAGATATTTTAGAAGCTTGTTTCAAGGAGAGTCATGGAATAGACCCAAGCCTGGGGATATTAAATTCCAGCAGTTACCCGAGGAGAAAAAAGATTGGCTGGAAAGACCATTTTCAGTTGAAGAGATAGAGGAAGGCTTAAGGAGTTGTGAAGGTTCAAAGGCACCAGGACCTGACGGTTACAACTTTAACTTCCTTAAATATGCGTGGCACTGCATAAAGGAGGACTTCATCAACTTTTTTTCTGAATTTCACCGTAATGGTAAATTGGTGAGGGGTCTAAATTCTTCTTTTATAACCATGATACCTAAAAAGTTAAATGCTGTAGAATTAAAGGATTATAGACCATTAGCTTGATAGGATGTGTCTATAAATTATTAGCGAAGGTGTTGGCTAATAGATTGAAGTTTGTGATATCAGAAATAGTAAGTGAAACGCAATCTGCTTTTGTGGGGGGCTGTCAGTTGGTGAATAGTGTCTTGGTGCTGAATGAAGTTGTGGATGAATTTAAGAAGACGAAACAGCCAGCTTTCGTTTTTAAAGCAGACTTCGAAAAAGCATATGATTGCGTAGATTGGTCCTTTTTGGATTGGATGATGGAGAGGTTTGGATTTGGAATTAAGTGGAGAGGCTGGATTATGGAATGCCTTTCAACGGCGAGAATCTCGGTTCTAGTAAACAGAAGCCCGACAAAGGAATATGAGGTGGGTAAAGGATTGAGACAAGGTGATCCTCTATCTCCTTTTCTCTTCTTGATGATTGTAGAAGGGTTACAAGGTCTGGTACAGAGAGTAATAATGGAGGGAATGTTGCATGGGATTGAGATTGGGAAGAATGGTCTGTCCGTGTCATTGCTCCAGTTTGCTGATGATACAGTTATTATGGGTAGAGCGAATGTTGAGAATATACGGACGGTGAAGGACATTCTAAAATGGTTTGAGCTTATGTCGGGATTGAGGATTAATTTCAGCAAGAGTAGTATTTTTGGTTATAATGTGATGGAGAAATGGCTAAAAGGATCAGCGGGTATGTTACACTGCAGGGTTGGACGAGCACATTTTCTTTATCTGGGATTGCCCGTTGACGGAAAATCTGGGAACAAGAAATCATGGGAGCTGGTTGTAAATAAATTCCGTACCAAACTCGCTGTCTGGAAGGCCACTACTCTTTCTTTTGGAGGCCGCCTCATCTTGCTAAACTCGGTACTCTCTGCACTCCCTATTTTTTATATGCCTTTATTTTTATTACCTAATTCTGTGCTTGAGGAGTTGATTAGAATTCAAAGAAGTTTCTTATGGGGCAGATCAGAATTAAATAAGAAAATTTCTTGGGTTAAATGGGAATATGTTTGTCGAGCTAAGGCGAAGGGGGGTCTTGGGGTGCCTGATTTATGGAAAAAAAATTGGGCAATGTTAGGAAAATGGTGGTATAGGTTAGGTGACGGGGTCGAGAGCTTATGGAAAAGGGTGGTGAGGGAGAAATATTATGGTGGTAGGAGGGAGGTTGATATTACTTCGGTTGAGTGTTTCAAGGTGTCAAAAATTTGGAGGGACATTATTAGGATAGGGGGCCTTTCTCTCAACCTTAGGAATATGTTGGTTGAGGGTTTCAAGTGGGAAGTGGGTGATGGAAATAGAGTGGTTTTTTGGTCTGATAGGTGGATTGGTGTTAAAAGTCTTAGGGATTTATTTCCAAGGTTATTTGCACTATCTGTAAAGAAGGAAGGAAAGGTTTCTGAGATGGGGTCTTGGGAAGAGGGTAGATGGCATTGGCGGGTGGAGTGGAGGAGGGGTACATTAGGGCGAGAGAAAGATGAGGAGGAGCTGTTGGAGAAGTTGCTGGAGAATGTCAAACTAAAGGAGGGGGCAGGGGATGTTTGGAAGTGGGTTCATGTGTTGGATGGCAAATATGGGGTGAAGCTAGCGTATGATTTTTTAGCTCCTATGAAGAGTGTTTTGGAGGACCAGCTATGCAAATTAACAGGGTGCAGATTGGTGCCATCCAAAGTGGCTTTTTTTGGGTGGCGATTGTGCTTAGATAGACTCCCAACAAAAGAAAACTTGCAAAAACGTGGGATACTGCTTCAGGAGGGTGAACTTTGCGAATTTTGTAATGGGAAGAAGGAGGAAGTTAACCATTTATTCTGTTTATGTTATAATGCATGGTTAACTTGGACTCAGGTGTTGAGGTGGTGGGGGTTGGAGTTTGTTTTGCCTAACACAGTAAGGGTAGTGGCAGAGTTTTTCATTGGTAGTTTGGGAAGCATTGTTGGAAAGGAGATGGGCTCATGTATTTTCCTAGTGGTTGCCTGGTACTTATGGTATA